GTTTGGAGCCGTCCAATTTGTCCGTCTTAACAGAGTTTCCGACTTGATGGGGTTCATTTCACTGTATATATTTTAATCGGGGGTAAAAAAAATTGTCCGTGTTACCAGGGTTTCCATCATATAGAAGCAGTGGCGCACACTGGAGGGTTCAATGGTAACACTTGCTACCCCTGATTTTTTTGGTAGGTGGGTGGGTGGACCTCCTGGCTCCAAAATATTTATATCAAAAAAATTCTACTACTTATAAAAATATTGAAAATAAACTATTAAATAATTATAGGCTATAATTTGCTAACCCTATTTATTTTTGAGTATGCGCCACTGTATAGAAGTTCCGTCTTACCGAAGTTTTACTGTAGTTTAAACTGTTCTAAACTGAAACCAAAAGTAAAAATTGATAAGTGGTACATTGCTATAGCCTATATTGGCATTGTATTATGATGCTGTACCACAAACCACAGGATGGATTAAATCTATTCTAGTATTCAGTTGTTATTCAGCTATACCTAGATATTAAATCTGTTCTACCTATCACCAAACTCAACTATAATATAGTCAATATAAACTAGGAATAATTGTTGTCAGACAACTGCAAGCTAATATATTATAGTATATTATGTCAACTATGAGGGGGGGAGGCGCAAAACATTATTTATCTATTTCTATTTGTAGAATACTGTGCCTAAATCCCTAATATAGTAATATACCTATTGGTCTGCCCCTGTGCCCTATACTATAGGGCCTATAGTACCTAATAACAAAAATGCTTTCAACATTAATGTGAAATATAACATTTAAAAAACAAACACATGTCATTGAACAACCAATACGGAAATACATTCAACGCTTCTCTTAGAACCTAAACCCAGACAACAGATAGCTTTATATAGGTAGGTCGTACTGAAAAATTATACTATATAATACGGCAAATAATAATTTTGCAATCAAATTCTATCGGAATTTATTAAATGACAATTTTTAAATTTATTTAAATACAGGTACTACATTTTGTTTAATAGTTATCAATATAATTTTTAAACAATAATTATGAAAAGTACTTCAAATGAAAGCTAAAATTTATGATTCTATACTTACCATTATATACGTACCAAACTAATTGGTTTGTTCACCTCGTACTGTATTATTGTTCGGTGTTGGGCATATTAATTCAAAGCCATATTATGCTTGCCTACTTATGATGTACGTGCAAATGTTTTGATTTAATAAATACCTATCTTACCGCTATAGTCTATGGCTTGATAACATAAATAAATATAATTATAATGCTTCTGACTCATCAATGAAATATTATTGTGGTACCAAAAACACCTTTAAAGTCTAATTTGCATTTTTTGTTATAAGATATTTGTTTAAAAACGGACTCTTGATGTTTAACTTTATTGAAAAATACTTGTGTAAAAAAATACTGACGAAACTAGAAAAATAAAAAGTAAAAACAATTGGCACAAGATATAAACATTGAGTTTATCAGTTCCTCTGTTTTATTCGATCACAAATACATCAAACCCAATATTTTATCTTGCCTTTTTTTGTTATTATTTAAAATTATTTTATGTATCACTAACTTAAACTTCAACAGAAAATGTTTAAAGGATTAGGCAATTCAAAAATTGTATGTGATTTTACAAGAACTTACAGTTTAAATAATTAAACGTTTAACTATCTCAATGTTGGTTTTTAGTTTTATCATGTTTGGTTTTGTAGCTTTAGTTTTAAATTGTTTTGTAGGGTGTTACCACTGGGTATCCTCCCTAATCTTAAGATTCAAGTCAACCTATTTTTACTGTCAATCATCAAACCTACTTATTTTACATAACAAATTGTATAGATTGTAGATATATTTCAATAAAAAGAAAAAAAAAGTTTTAAATTGTTAAGAAATTATATTTTTCGTATGTACATAAAATCATTTGGGGCCCTAGCAAAATGGGAAATAAATTTAAAAAAATAAATATGACAATTATATAATATATACCTAAATATATAAATTAATATAATTCATATATTAATAATATAATGACTAATAATCTCTCTTTTACCATGGTCTAAAAAAAAAAATTCGAAAATCGCCATTTTGTAGTTATTAATTTACAATAAAATGGAGAAAAAAATTATTTTGAAATCCGTTGAATTTTGAATGAATGTAAAGCAATTTATATTTTCAAAAATACAGCATATTGAGTATAATATTGTAAAATTGTGAAATCGAACTAATGCTAATCCAATGGGAAATGGGTTTTATTATTAAATATTTTATTTAAATAACCTATATTATGAATTTAACACAAAATAATCCAAACTAATAGTTTTATTAATACCATGTTTATGAGATTGGACTCTAGTTATAGTAAGTTATGATATTAATATTGTACCTCCACGGAAAATAAAAATTACCCATCTAAAAGGGTTCTTTTTTAATCATTAGCCAGATCGACAACACATAAAATCACCAATGTTTACCAATATATATTCACTGCTGTGTTAAAAATCTGAAATAATTTATTACGTAATTTTATAAAATTAATTATTTAATATTTCTTTAGTTTTTAAAACTTTCTTAATGTTTCCCAGATCAGCTTACTGATTTAAATTTTTATTTTAAAATTGATGATTTTGTATTATTCATTAATAATACAAGTTTTTTATTATACACGGACTGTATTATCTGGTACGATATTTATCGTTTGGTTTTTAAATATGTTTTAGATGCGCTTAAAATTGCAGATTTCGCAGTCGCCCAAAAAATTTAAATATGAAAAAAATAACAATGAGCTATATAAAGTATTATAAACGCATATTTAAATATTGTACTCCATAATATAACACTTGACTTTTGAAAAAATATAAGTAAAAACACAATAGTTATAGAAATATAATTTAAATACTTTAAACAATTCCTATCACATAATGATTGAATTAGTTTAGCTTTTTTATATTTTAATATAACTCTTGATAAAAACAAATTTAAAATTTCTTCCACTCTGTGTTTATAACAATAAGTGCCTATTTTTTGTATCATAGGTATTTAGAAAGTCACAAACGAAACTAATTTACAACAATTTTATTATTTATTATTATTATCAACATTATGGTCTGAGCCCAATTATATAGAATATTAGAATATGATAATAGTAATTACAATTTAAACTATGAATACCAACAATAAGTATGAAAATAACTAATTAAACTCATATAAAAACGTGAATAATAACAATTAAATATACGACAAATACTAAAAAAATTATGGATCACTATTTGCAATATGCATCATTCTAAGGATTGGCTGGTTCTCAGAATAATTGGTGTTGCATTTCGGAATACAAAATGGATAAAATCAACGAACAGAAGTGCAAGGGGCTTTAACGTTAATCTTAGAAAGTAAAACAGGAGAATCAATACAGCCCTCTATTAGTAGGCGGAGAAAGTTCAGGTTAGCTGCTTTTCTTGTATCAACTATAAGAAAGTTAAACCAAGTTTATTCAAAATTGGAAAATAATCATGAGGTGGATGGTCAATACTTAAAATAAATGTTGCATATTTTAGGAATTTTCGTTGCACTCTTTCAATTCGATCCCTTCCACAACAAGTGGAAGGATACCATACAATAGCATTTTAAATTATTGTATAATATTTTAAGCTACATTCATAAATAATTAGTACATAAATAATATGATCAATTATATAGGTACGTACTTAATAAAATTGTTGAATTATTACTACTTCACCCAATGGTTTTACGTACTTATATAGTTATACTGGATGAATCTTATTTCGTTTATACACGAAAAAGTGTCTACAGTTGTCAATTTGAGTGTTTTCATTGGGCCTATGCACAATAAGTAAAATTTGATGTACCTATCATAATTAATTCAACATACGTGATATCGCATCTACGTTTTAGTTGATTTTCGAAAATCTTAAGACATCGAACGTCGGTACAATAAAATCGTCAAGCAATTATCTGAACGTACCTATTCAAGTTCACCGAATATTTCATAGGTATATTTACAAAAATGATCCATCAATCGATCACTTTATCATAGGTATATTTGGTTTTTTTCCGGATATGAAAATTTTTTGGAAATATTTTATATTATTATACTCGCGATGTACCCCCATACCACTAACGTAAGTGTAGATACTAATTTTTTATTTCAAAATATTAAATAGTTACAGCAAATTATACGATCATTGGGAAGATAATAATAATATTATATCGTACAGCGGTTCCATCACTTCCAATGAACGTAGAAATTTTTTAAGTGATTTTTCGTATTGTTCTTTAGAAGCGGTAAAGCTGAATTCTATATTTTCCACCCATGACAGAATCAATTGTTACCCCCCACCCCAAAAAAAAAAAAAAATGAAACTGAAATAAATTTGGCAGCTCAACAGGACCTTATCCACGAAAATCCATCCAAGCCTATCTTGAAATGTAGTTTTTAAATGGCATAAAGAGGGCCGGGAAAATTTTTAAAGCGGATCGTCGTGGGCCGTTAGAAACAAGCAGTGATGCAGCAGATAATGCACTAGAAAATCGATCGGACGAAAATTGGAACCTAAGTTTAAAAGTTTTTCGTCTGAAGTTTGAGTGTGCGTCGTTACGAAACTCTGATACGAAAAAATAATACAAGACGAGACGAGACGATTTTCGTCAATCGCATTAATTGTAGTCACGGTTTGCCGCCGTCATTTGCATCTCGCGATCGCCGCCGTTTCACTATTATTCGGACGTCCTGTACGAGGAGCGAACCCGAAAAGGACGAAGGACCCGAACGCGCGCACATAGAATACGGGGGCCGCCGCCGCTTAGTATTCCGAAGGCGACCCGCGCCGACCGTAATGCGGAGAGATTAGCGTATTTGTCACGCGCCACCCGCAACCGGTCGTCCGGCCGGCCGTCGTTATGTTGGGCAGTGGGCCAGTGCCGGTGGTATATAATGCTTGAGCGGAGAGGCGTGGCCAAACATTCGTTTACGATGCACAGCAGAAGAACAACAGTGTCCGTGTCGTCGCTCTCGGTGGTGGTGCTAGCCGCGGTCGCACTGGCCGTGGCCGGGGTCGCAGTTGCAGCCGACCGCCCGGTCGACGGTCTGCTGGACAGGGTGCTGGACAGGTGTTCGCTGGGACCGGGCGCCGTGGGATGTCTGAAGGGCAACGTGTTGGAGTTCCTGCGGGACGGCCGCGCCGCCGACGTGGAAGCCGACGGTGACGTAGACGCAGAGCTGGTGCGAGCAGCCGGCGCGTACATCGAGCGCCGGGTCAACGAGCCGAACGTTGTCGAGCCGGTGAGGGAAGCTCGGGCAATGGACAACGAAGCTGGTCCAGCCGCTTCTGCCGCCGCCGCCGCAGCAGCAACAACTACCACCACAGCTAGAGGTTTGGATATTTTAAGTATAGTCGAATTTCTCAAGGTCGTCCGATCTGTGTTTAAATTCGTTCAGTCGTTATTGAAGCTCAAACAATCCGAACTCAATATTGCATTTATACCGTTTGTAGCTGACATGGAGATGGGCATGATGCAAGACAAAATGCTGATGCCGCTCATGATGATGATGAAGATGAAGCTCAAGATGCTCATGCCCATAATGATGGCCCTCGTCAGCATGAAGGCCACCAAGGCGCTGGTGCTCAGCAAGGTGGCCATTATGCTGGTGCTCGGGTTCCTCCTCAAGGAGTTCCTGAAGAAGTCCGGCATTCCCGGGCTCCCGTTGCACCTGCCCGGATTCCCGGGGTCCGCCGAACCGTCGTCCACATCCGGACCTCCACCCATGTACGGGCCACCGCAGTCTTCCGGTTACGAGTCGTCCAGCTCGTGGGAGCCAACGGGTTACTCGAGCCATGCCTCCGATTCCCATTCGATGGCCTACAACAGTTACCAGCCGTCGCCGTCGTCGTCTTCGTCCGGTTCGTCGGCCAGCCTGTCGTCTAACAAATATTGAATTGGACTTAGAGTTGTATCCTAGCCCTAGGTACCATTATTAAATTATTGTTTGGATTTATATAATTATTATTTATTACTCAGGTTTAGCTAAATTTATTTATTTCATGAAAATTGTTTAAAAACAAATATATCATATTTTCGTCGTGAACATCCCGAGTGTTCTTATATTCTCGACATATTTATTTGTTTATTTTTATCTATAATTTCTAATAAGTAAATAAATAAATATTATATTAAGGTGTGCGATTGTCTCAAAATCTTTAGTGTCGATTCGATTTAGAAATATTTCTTCGACGTAAGTAATAAAAACACTATTATACTATTTATACATTTTCGAAGACTTCATCGAAAATTATGAACAAAGATAATACGATTCGTCGCAAACAAATTATTATACTTATCACACAAATGCATTAATCATAAGGTATAGACTGTGGTTAGGTGTGAAAACAAAAACAATTGCAATCACAAACTATAATCACATAGACCATTATAATATACAAATAACAAATATTAGCAATGAACATTTTATTTAGGTACTTATACACAATAAATTATATTGTTATATCATTTCTATAGACTTTAAACTAATTAACTCTACGAAATGCATAGAAATAAAAAGATGATAGCACTTTAATTGCCATTTCATAAGAGCATTTTAAATTCAGACAAAATAAATTATAATTTTAATTCATTTTTTATGTATATAAATAACTATATAAATAACATTAAATTAATAATACAAAAATAATTGGCTTATATATTTATATACGTACTTATATAACATGAATTTAATGTTCTTTTTCTGTTCACTGGTCTCAACTACTTTAAATGTTTTACATTTTTGACAAATAAAATGTGTATAAATAACACATCGTTTATCGGGGAACACCAAATACTTTTTTGAAGATTAAACACATTTTAAACATTTTTCACTTACTAAATAATTTACATAATAAAACAAAGGCATTAACACAAACAACTATAATATATATATATTTCAATTTATATAATTTTTTTAGAACTTTAATAATATAAAAAAGTAGATTATGTATATAATTAAGGTAACTCAATTGGAAATACAATAGTTACTAAAATGTAGTTATCCTAAATTTACATCACCTTTTTTATATTTTTCATTTTTACACTGTTATTATAAATTATATCTAAAAGTAAAACTACGATAAAATAAATTATTCATAATAGGTAGGTATTAAATTTAAATTATAGTTAAAAAAAAAAAATGAATTTTTTAATAGTAACGATATCGTTTCTCAATAGAAATAAAAAGTGCGTGAAAATGTATCACAACCCAACCTAAAATCCCTATTAATTAACATGTTAAAAACTAATTTATGAACGTATTTTTAAGCGGTATTCCTTTTTTTCTATTTAAACAGATCTATCTACGTAGTTGCAATAATATTAAGCATGACGTTTTAAAACGTTTACACATAGGTATTTATCTACTTTTCGGCAAAAAATAAATATTATTTTCAAAAATAATGTACAATTATTATTATTATTATTAACCTATACTGCAGTGAAAATGAAGGCAAGTATATTAATTCTAATGTGATTATAAAATTTACCCTATGCCGTCAATAATAATAATAATAATAAATAATAATAAATCGTATCATCTAACATTAAATTGAATGGCATTATAATTTATAATAATTATCATACAATAGTACCTATGTAGTGATGCGTATACAATATAAAAATGTACCAAATGATTGGTTTGTTGGCAGTACTTTTAAATGTTTCAATAATATTCTATTGTTCTTACAGTATCTATTTTTACTTCGACTTACGCCTTAAACTTATCTATGGAATATTTTTTTTTTTTTAAGAAATGCACCAAGTAGACATTTCTCATTCGGATATTCCGAATGCTGTTGGTGGTTTTCATTAAGAACACATGTGCTGTTCTGTTTCGTTATTGATGATATTTTCGGTACCGTTGACCACGTCGTTTATACTTTCTTCTGTCACGTCTACTTGACCGTCGTTCGTATGAATTTTATTAATCTCAATGTACGTTTCGCTTTGAACATTTTCGACTTCCGCCCCCACTTCGCCACTACTGTCGTCCGCTGCCAAATCGCAGATTTCGATTTTATTTTCAATAACCCCATCATTGGAGGGACCATCGATTTCTTTCGTCTCAGTTTCGTCATCAATAATTAAACCATTCACTCCCTCCGATACGTCATCTTCTACTTGATTACATATTTGGTTCTCCATATTTTCTGAAATTTCAACAACATTATTAACTAATTCTCCTCCAACGAATATATCGTCGACTTGTTCGTTACAATTTGCGTTATGATCGTCATCGTTCTGCCCGACGTTATCGACGTCAAACACTTTGACGTCTATTAGTTCGTCACAATTTGTTTTACAGTCGTCATTGATTCCAATTTCTACGACAAGTGAATTGCCATTTGTAACTTCTGATGATAATATGACATTTGGTTGGTCATCGATCGTCAAATGGTTAGTGGACGTTTCGTTTTGCTCCTTTTTAGACTCGGATTTAGCTCGTTTCGTTTTACTGGATGAAGGTGATTTTTTTTTTTCCACTGGCTTCGACTCCACAGGTGCCGACGAGTTTGCCTGACTTATGTCCTCTTTTAATATTTTGCTAATTTCGGAAATGGGTTTCAACAGAGCGATAAGTACGTCGTCATCTCTCCTCTAAAATAAAAACAATATGTAATTAGAAAAATATAATTATACAAGTCACCAGCTATAATTATCATAACACCGACAAACAAATGACATGACTCTATGTATAGATGTGTGCAATATAATATGCTATGTAGTAAGTATGTTATCGATATTGTTGTTACGATTGTGATAAGTAATAACAACGTAGAGACGTATAGCGTACTTGCAGTTGTTGACTGTAGTACAATCAACATACACAAATTCAATTTAGCAATATTACGACACAACAAACGGTTTTGATAAACAATGGCGCATGAGTCAGTTAAATGGAATTGGCATTTGCTTGAATCATTTGTTTAGCAATTTCTTGGTTTAGCGGAAATAAAACGTATCACAATATAATTAGCTGTAAAATTCAATTAGGGCCGCAAGCCAAGGAAAAATTCTGCTGGCACACGCGCGATTGATGAACTTTGTCAAAAAGGGTTTTTTCACCTACGCCGAGGGACAACAGGAAGGGACAGATGACAAAAAAAAAAAAAAAAAATTATAATAATAAAAAAACAGCATATGTGCGTAGATTCGGAACTTTAATTTCACAAAACGTTGCCAAAACATGTCTCGGTTTTCACATTACCGAGCAACAATAAAATGTCTAAAAAGACGGCACTCTACACACGAGATATATATATATACCTACACACACATTCGAAAACGAGATGCAAGTGCGTATATACATATTATATTATGTAGGTACCTACATCATTTAATAATAATAAGGAGGATCGCGCGCGTGTGACCGGCCGCTGACTTATGTAGGTCGGAATCGTGTGGAAATTTATTGCGTTTGTATTATAATTTGTAAACGATTACTATATACTGACATTGGGACTATATGTGCGGAATCCGCATTTATTTTGTTTTGTCGAGGAATGCCGGTGGCCACGTGCCAGGGGACGCTCCGGCTTAATCATCACCGGCCATCGATCTATTTCTGTATTCAAGGTGGACACGGCCGTTTTAGTGAATTTACGATCAAATCCCGTTTACTTTTTTTTTTTTTTTTTAGGCCCATTCACAAGCGCTCACGTATTCGCGATCGTATCGTATCTAAGCCTGCCACTTACTTGGAAAAGTATTTCCCGATCGAAATACACGAAACCGCGGCGTTTGGCCGCTATCAGCAGACCCACCACTTTGTCCGATATTTTCGTGTAAATCTGAAAGAAAAACGTACAAATCTTTTTACATATAATTTTTACTTTCATCACGTGGAATCTGTATTGAACTCACTGATTATCAGTATTTCGTTATTGTGCAATATAGACCTGAACGGGCACACATAATATTATAGGCAATAATAATAGCACCTGTTTTTGCGCGCGCCGAGTCGACCAATATATTATTTTGAATTGGTCTGAGAGGAAAGTAGGAAATCGAATATCGACTGACGAGTAACGATCACGTATTATGACGTTATAATACTAATTTCGTAAAAAAAGAAAATTCATGAATGCTTCGAGTTCGACGGGGAAAAAATTGACATCGCCCTCGGTATTTTTTTTTTATTTTAATTTATTCTTCAAGAAGATAATGGGGGGCCACTGAACATGTTCAGTTTATATACTATGTATGTTTTAGCGTCGGAAAACTCACCTGGAAAAGTTCGCCAAAACTGACGATAATTGTACCGTCGTCGATCGGTTGGTCCTCGTCGTCGGGATCTCTCTTTTTCGTGTTGTACGTGCCCACATCGTGTATGACGGTGCACAGTTCCAAGATCTCACGGCAAATGTGCGACTTTGCTTTGCGTCCCCTCAGATCTGTCTTAGAGCCCGCTATAGGCCTACGGAAAATAATATCAATATGAAACGGTTGAAGCACGCAGAACCCGTTGGGAAATTTTATTACATACGAAAAAATTTAAAAAATATTTTTGTAAATCAATTATAAATGTTGCGGTATATGTGTGTGTGTGTGTGTAGTGTAAGTACTCACTTTCCGTATTCCTCCCGGGAAAATCGAGGCGACGGCGATCGCGACTGTTCGAATTGATCCGAAAACGGGTTCAGAGACTGCGATTTCGAATGGCTGTCGGCCTGTTGGTTGAATTTCGAAACGATATCGAGAAACGACATGGTGACGTGTAATTTTGGTACAAATATTAACAATAATTAGTCGTGTACCTAGCGTATCATCCCAACACTATAGCACTATATAATGAGCGCTCAACTGACGGAATTGAAGTATTTAAATAGAAACAGGCTGCCAAGAAATTCCGCGCAAAATCGTCACCGGCGATGCAAGAGAACCCACGTGGTTTATGATGTTTCTATTTTTTCGCAAACGTCACGAAACCTTACGAAACTCCACTCGGCGCCCGGCGCCTACGTAACACGCGCGCGATTATAAAACATCATAAAATAGATTTTTTTTTTCTTTTATATTCATCGTATACTCCTCGACACGAGCCGCGGCACAATGTTTAGAATAATATTTTCCACGTTCCAGCCATCGTAGTATATAGTATACAGAAGTTAATCGATCCTGGCGCTGATCGTAAACGAAGTACTTGCGCCAAGAAAAAAAAATAACGATTTCTCAGTTCGAGTGGTTTTTATTCATAAAATCACTTCGGACCGATTTCAATGATTCAACGACCATAATATTCATCGTTAACGCACTTGTATAGCTAGCATTTCGTATAATGACGCGAGTCTGATACTGAACATTTTATCCGAAAGTCTATAATTTGACTACGAACTGCAGCCAGGGTATTTAAACGGCGAGCATTCTTCAGTTATTTGTAGCTAAACGAAAGGGATTTTGGCAAAAACATAACAGACATACTGCATTTTATCTCACCGGGTAATTGAACATTTTGGCACAAACACGTTTATAGTTTTGATTTTCGAGTTGAAGAAATCCGGTTCATCGTAAAAATGTCTATAGTGACGCGATCACCTATAAAGTTGTTCAAAGCTATTTTTTAATCTTCCAAAGCATGTTGGATGGTAGTATATACTATTATGCTGTACGCGTGCTATAATATTAGATTTTAAGTATAATTCACTCAAAAAACATAGGTGGAGACAATAATAAATTAACTTTATTTTTAGTACGGATTAAATAGCATACTAACATATTTTCCAAGAATTTTTTACCTTCTTCGCTGAGGTAGTAGCCAAATAAAACTACTTACATATTATATAATTGGTATGTATGATCAACAATATTCTAACAACCCTTACCTAGTAATAACTAATTAATACTGAATTTCTTGTAAATAAATATCTAAAATTATTTAAAATTTTATATCTACATGAGAATATGATGGAGGTAAGTATTTAGATGTAAATAACAGAAAACAAATTATAATTTTAAAAAATGTGGGTTTCAATATTATGAGAAGCTAACTATATTGTATTATATTATTGCTATCGTAATCGTATGACACATTAAAAATCAATACCTTAAATTATGGATTTAATGTGTAGTAAATAATAAACAGTAAAATATGACTTACCTACTTAAAATTATAATTTGAATAATTTATATTTTTTATTTTTTATTTGTCACAGTCCTATAAAAAGATAATGTTTACACACTTTTCAATTTGTTGATATATAAACAACTTTCTAAACTTAGATTTTCATATTATTTATAGCATGAACTATTAAGTTTGATAGTACTATTATTTGTATTATTTGCATTACTGTTATTGTAATTTGTGACATCCTTAACCTTCTTTAATATTATTATTTTTTTTTTTAAATTAAATCATATACCAATATTTAATACATTTAAGATACAATAAATTAATTGCAGCAGACGAGATTGAAATAAGCAAACTAAACGTGTTATCAATATAATTAGTGTACTATAAAGTATAAATTATAATTTAGTAATTAGAAAATGTGTTGCTATAATAGTATAATATATATAGTGGCACTAACAGTTTATGAATGAAAAAAAACCTTAACACGTGATCAACGAGATACATAATATTATCTAACTTCCGATGTTGAACTATCTTTATAATTATATATTACACGCTCGTCAAATTGAATGTTACTTACATTTCATAGTAAAAAATTTTTGATTTTCATAATATACAGCACCGAGTACCGCATAATGTTATCACATTCGTTCAGGCCATTTTGATTCTATTAACAAGTCGATTCCATAAAGCATCTTTTTTTCAATAGAATAATTGGTTTGGGATTTTCAATTTTGATTCCAATAAACGGTTGATTCTATAAACCACTGATAATTTTAAGCGGAACTTACTGTATGTATAAATATTTATCAGCTCAAAAATATAAAACAATATTTTTCTTATACACTCGTAAATATTATACAATACCAGAAAATAGTTTTATATTAACAATTATTGTTGGCATCGTTTTATATTTTTATACAACAAGACAAATAATATCACCTTAAAAATTGGTTTTGGCAGTATTATTAGTCTACAAAAAACGTATAAAAATAATAATATATTTTTCTCCTAAAATATAGTAGGTTTTAAAAAAAAAATAATTACCAAATAATAACTTAAATAATTATTTACTCTAACGTAAATTTAGAATAATTAGTATTAATTACGGTTATATTTTAGAAGCTTACAATATTAATGTTTATCTACACTAGACACATTTAAAGTTCCGTTCTGGAATGTTCTCGACTGTAGTTGACACTAGGCGTCAGTGGTAGTCCGCTCCAAAAGTTGTACTCGTCCGTAAACGGTCTTTCGGACAAAACAGGCGTTGATGATTTTATTAATAAATATTTCATGTCCTTTTTGTTATACCTCGGCCAAGTATTTCCTGTGTTTTTTCCGTCAACAGTCAACTTACTAAAAACAATTCAAACAAATATATTATTTACTTTTACATTCACGCACTATCCGGCTTGGTCGCTTGGATAGTTATTAGCAATAACTTATTACTTATTAGTTATTAGGAATGTATTATAATTTCAAATAAATGTAGTGAAAATAAAAAAAATCTAGAAGATTATTAATGTCATCTAGATCTAATGATTACCAATAAGTTTGTAATTTACTCAATTATTATTATATCATCATACACAATAATTATTCATTTATAATTATTTAATTTTTAACTATTCAAAAATTGAATAGAATCAACTATGATAGGTATAAGGTACCTAATACATATGAGTTCAGATTAATTATTTATGATATAATAAGAAACATATTATTATGAATAATATTAGATATATAAATATATTGTTTATTGAGGGTGCTACATATGCATGCGTTCTCTGGGTCTTGCAAACGCATAACATTGCAAATTGTACACTCGTTTAGCTCTGTTAGTTTAAAAAATAGAGTGAATTTACCTCTTATAAAATTTAAAGGTAAGGTTATCTAGTGTATTTCATAGTTCTTTCAAGTTTTTTTAGATTTTTATTTTAAAGCAAGTTATGAGTATTTGAAAATGCACAAATTTACAATTTTAAAATACCTACTCATAACTTGATTTAAAATTAAAATATTAAAAAAACCCTATGCGAAATTAACTAGATAACCTTACCTTTACATTTTATGATAGGTCGTCAATTCACTCTAATTGTTAACTAACATAGCTAAACGTGATCTGCTGAACGTATAATTTGCTATGTTATCCGTTTGTAAGACAGAGAGAACGCAGCGGGTGTAGTGCCCTCTTAAGAGTATATTAATTAGTTATATCTACTAAGTAAATAGAAGGTAGGTCATATTATATAGATTATAGAGCATAGGCGTAAATATGGTTAAAAATATGGGGGACTAGAAATATAAATTAATACGCATTAATATAATTAATTATATTTACGAGATTAAATCAGTAAATATTTGAGAGGGCGCTTAGAGAGTTTTTTCTGTGGGAGGTGAAGCCCCCAACCCAAACTTACACCTATGCTGTACAAGATATTATAATAGTTGTAAAATAGATACCTACTTAAAAAAAAAAAAAAATGTTAGGTAAATGTGAAAAATTTAAGTCTCAAAATTAAATACTTAGATTCAAGATTTGAATTGTGTAGGTACTATTGTGTACTGTGGTTATTACGTACGTTACACGTGTTAATAAACCTCGAGTTATAAAATAAATTAACCACTAAACATAAATTATTTGCGTTAAAATAAATTGTTAATCATCACTGAAAACTGCAGTTACGACAGATCAAATAAACCGTACTCAGAGCTGGCGAAGTTCGTCCAAATGTCTACCATAAGTTTAGACACATTCTCGTCTTGTGTGTTTAACCGCTTGCCTAAGTCGAAAAGGCTAATCATTTCATCGCCGTGAGTGACACCTAAATGTTTTGGACATGGTCCGAAGAATGCATTTAATGAATGCTTGTTTACATAATCGTATACATAAAAGTGTACAGGTGACATTACATGATTGGCCATGTCAATAACCCCTTTTAAGAATATGCCACCAGTGACCATCTGCAATAAATAACAATATATTATACATTTTCAAATAAACGACGAAAGATGTAAGAGTATAAAAAAATATCATATAAGAATTAATAATAAAATGTTATAATTATGTTAGTAATACTAACATCGACCGTCTTTTTAGGATTGTCTTCGATCGAAGTTCCTTCTGGAAAGTAATGCTCTTTCAATTTATCACTAATGAGAC